AGTCGACGCTCCTCTTGGGCAGCCAAGCTCCCAAGAGAATCCCCCACGAACTGAAACAGCGCATGGTGTAGGCGAGGGGCGGATTCCACAACCTGTTGAATCAGGTACGAAACCAGAGGGGCCAGTCCCGTGGGTAGGTATTTCTTCATACGCCCATGCCGTCCAGCCCCAGAGAGAAAGTCGCACAAGGAAACCCCGGGCTTGATGGGCACACTGCAGGGAACCCCGAGAGATGCGCGAGAGGCGCACATCGTGGACCCGAAGCTGAAGAAGCCGAAGGGCCCGAGAAACCTGAGTGCCCGAAGGGTGGAAACGCGCCAGGGCGCCCCCTGAGGTGGACTGGCGGTAGCGAGGTCCCTGCTGACGCCCCAAGTACTGTGTCGCGGCATTGTCGCCGTCGTGAAACAATGGGGCAAGCTCCGTTTCGGCACCATCGTACAGCGCACCATAGAGGTGATCTAATCGAGCCTGGTGCTCGTCCTGCGGCCCAAGGCGACTAGCCGCGTCGTCAGCCATTAACTCTGACCATAGTCGCTCTGGTGAGCCCCGAGGCGTGTCGAATTGAAATTCGCCGTCCTGATCCTGGTGGGCATCCGCGTCCTTCCATTTAGCGGTGGGGGTGGCGGGGAAAGGCACAGGCCCACTTAAGACCGTGACGGCGTGTGAGCGGACCCCACCTGGTAACGTAGTCATAACTGCGTAGTGGTTCCTGGGTGGGAAGTCTGCCAATGTGACTGGCGTAGTCACGGTGGCCGCGACGCAATCACTGGCCAGCCAGTAGTCAAGCAAAGTGCGTCTCGCAGTTTTGGGATCACGGTGGGTGCCCTCCGCCGACACAACCACACGAGCACGTAACTTGTCAGGGTAACCCGTCTTCCCAAGAGTATATGGACCTACGTTCCAATCGCCTCCAATGATAAAGGGCAGCCTGTGATAGGGCAGTGTGGGGCCGAGCAGCCTGAGCTTATCATGGTTGGGTCCCGATGGCCCGTGACCTTGCTCCAGGTAGGTGGACCCCAAGAGGAAACCATGTTTGGGGCCGGCGTGGATGTGAACGAGTATGGCGTAAGCCTCCATGACGATGTGAGATGTAGCGTGCCCAGGTAAGGTCACACTGATGTGGGTAGGTACAAAGATTGCCACGCCACCGCATCCCTGTGTTGCACCGTCCTCCCCAGGTCGGGCCGCCGTCATGAAAGGTTGCCACCCTGAGCTGCGTGCCCATCCCTGCGCACGGGCCATGCGATCACCTCGTAGTTTGTGTTCCTGCACAACCACAATGGCCCCACGAGGTCCTTCTTCCAAAAGGGCCTTAGCTTGAGACCAGCCACTGGAATGGACAGTAATCAAGCGTACCGCAGACTTTCTCGAGGAGGCTTCCGGGGCGCGTCTCCATGGCCGAGAGGAGCCACCATGTGAGGGAGCACTAGGTAAGCGAGACCGTTTGGGAGCCCGTTGAGGCCCTGTGTCGGTGACCCGACGCTTCCGCTTCCTACGCCCAACAGAGGGCCTATTCGGGGCCACTTCAGCACCAACCCTGTCCGAGGCCGTGTCAGCATCGATATCCAAGGAATGACACTGTGTACCCTCTGCGACCGCAATTGTGGCAGAGGCGGGTGGGTTGCGGCTTGTCCCGATAGGGTCGTTGCGATTAGCCAGGCGCAGCGGGCCCGATATGCCCTGGAAGCTCATGTCGGCAACCTGCGTGGTATCCAGGCCGTGCATGTAGAGAACGTTGGTCGGACCATCGCCCTGGGTGACCTGAACGTCGCGCTGCATAAAGCTGATGGAATCATCACCTCCTTCATCGGCATCAGCGGGTCCTGGGTCGGGTTCAAGGCCGTCTTCATCACTGCTGGTGTTGTAGGGCTCTTGCGTAGGGATGGCCACGTCGGTAGGCTCAAGCAGCCCATGATACCATCGCAGCAAATCTTCAGCCCGAACGCCAATGTTGGGTCGCCATGCATGTACAAACACGGCTTGGAGCTGGTCAGTGGCCTGAAGGTTGTCCAAAAGGAGTCGGACGTCAATCGGCATCTCTGAGACCTCAGGGTCAGACCTGAAGTAAAGATGGCGCTTGTGAACCCCGAGCTTGACAATGGCCTGCAGCGCCTCGCAATGCAAACGGGTAGGATGTGAGAGGCGCAAGGCCTCCCATCGGCCGCAAACCTGTTCACGATGACGGCAGTTGCGTTGCCGCGCCGCCTCACAAATGTCGATAGCAAGGGAGAGGACAGGGTTGTCATGACCCGTGGTGCGCATCCTGTGAATGAGATCGCCCAGCAAGGGGGTCCTGGTGAGCTCGAAGGAGACGACATCGATGCACCACTGCATCCACGACGCCAGTGCCTCATCAGGCGAGTAGAGCCACGACTCAATAGCCCATTGCCGATTGATAGAGACAAGAAAGCCACCAAGCCGCTCCCAGGCTGTGAACTCAGGTCGTTGGCCCATTCTCGGTCTGGGCCATTCCATGCCAGCGATCGTCGTGCTGGGAGACGGCGATCGAGGTGAAGCCGCCGCGAGCGAGCAATTGTCCACTAGGTGCCCGTGCACGAAGCCGCCACCCGTGTCACCAGCCAAAAACGTGAACCAATTCGCTGCCGTCGCAGGCGTATCCCAATCATCCAGGCGCACTGGCCAGGTTCTGGTCGATCCTCGCGTCCCAAGGATGCTCCAGGTCAGCAGCCATGGCCATGGGGGCCGCCGCTGGTGGCACCGTGGGCGGTGCAGGGACCTGCTGGCCAGTGGCGGCGGCGGCAGGCGCAGTGCCTCGGTGGGCGTCGAAGGCCCGCTGGAGCTCCGCGAGGTGAGTCCCGAGCGATTCGAGGAGTGCGCCCAGGTTCCCAGCCGCCACGGCGCGAGGTGCTGCTGCCACAACGTTGTGGAGTCGCCCGAGCGCGTCCTCCATGCTGCCGACTGCGGCACCGTCGATCCCTGCTGCCATGGCGGCGGTCCGCGCAACCACCACCTCGGCGTTGATCGCGGTGAGCTCCGCCGCCACGGTGGCCAGCTCCTGCTGCTTGATGGACAGCTGGCCCTCGAGCTCCTGGACCTCCGCCCTGAGCGCGTCATGCTCGCGCTGCTTGCTCGCGTGGCGATCGAGCGCCCGCCTGAGCATGTCGTCGGGCGTGCGGCCCGCATGCTCGCGAGCCTCAGCCTCCGCCAGCTGACGGCGAGCGCTAACCAGCAACTCGTTGTCTTCAGCCAACTGCAGGCGTCGTAAGGCGGCGAGGGCCTTGCGCGCCTTGGCGGCGTCGTCGCCCTCGGCAGGTTGAGCCCCTGCGGCGGCGTCTGGGCCTGTGCCTCGGCGCCCAAGGGAGGTGCTGCGAGCTCGCCGACCCTGGCCTTGAGGAACCGCGCTAGTCGGGTCTGGCCTGCCCTGCTTGTCCCGCCCGCACATGTAGCACCTCTCGTTGGTGCTGAAGTTGCGGGCGAAACCACACTGCCTGGTGGCGACGCAAGCCCACCGCTCGCCACCAGGATCACCAGCACCGCGACCACGACGGCCAGCTGCGCCTGCATCTGGCGCGCGGCTGCGACCAGCGCCGCGGGCGTGAGCCGTGATGTAGGTGCAGGAGGCGAGAGTCCTCCTCACAACGAAGGCGACGGCGCGCGGCTGCACGATGCCTGCGCAGCCTCCGATGCCACGCTGGGGAGCGTGACGGTCCAGTGGCCCCCAACCCCGCGGGTGAGGCAGCAGCCGCGCTGGCGGCTGGCGCGCCAGGCAGAGCCTGGGGCGGCTGGGGGCTCCCGATGGCGGGCTCCCGCGCCCCCGCGGCGGGCAATGGCTGCGGGGGGCGAAGGGGGGCCACGCGGGGAGCCACCTAGGAGGAGGAGGGGGGGGAGGAGAGGGAGGAGGAGGAGGAGGAGGAGGAGGCGCTTCCGCCTCGCGCGCGGAGGGGGGGCGGGCAGCTCCTGCCCGAGGTCGTTCCCTCGCCCCGCCGCCGCGCGCGCCTGCGTCGAGAGCCTCCTGCAGCCGCGGGTCACGGCAGGTTTGCGCCGCGCTGGCGCGGCGGCGGCCCCATCGCGGGGCCTCGAGGTCAGACGCCGCCAGTGGCTCGAGATCGGCCGACGCCGAGCGGTCTGCGCTATCGGAGAGCCGCGATCGTTCCGGGTTGAACAATCCACTCGGCGTCAGAAGCCAACGCCCGCGACATCGCGACGCGAGCCAGCCGTGCATGGATGGAGGGCGAGCCTTCCTCAAACCATTGGAGTTTGACCGATGATGCGCCCGTTGCAAGCGGTAGGTGTTCTCGCCGCTCTGGTCTCGCTGCTGTCCGCGGCATGGCCGTCAGGGTCTCCTGTGCGCGGAGCGCCAGCGCGTGGAGTGGAGCAGCCAAGTCGCGCGCGATACTAGTGCATTGGAGTTCTCAGGTTACTGCGGCGCGTACTTCTCTGCCGCCGTGTGCCCCGCACCGCAGACAGCTCCTGCGGCACGGCCTTCTTTATCCGGCGTTTCCAGCCTTCCAATGCCCAGAGGTCTGGCAGGACCTCGAGCGTATCGCCATCCCAAGTGGCATTTGCGGCTCAAGCGTGGATTCTGCACAACCGCATATACGTACACGTGCAGGCAGGAGGCGCCGCACAGGTGCATCGGACCAGGGAATGTTCGGCATCCGCGCACACGCATTCTTCACTCTGGCGCGGTCCTACGCGCTGGACGTTCGGACTCTTCAGTTAGAGATGGACGCCAAGACTCCACCTCCACAAGGATTTTGGGAGGTCCAAGGAGGTGAGTCATGTCCAGAACCTCGTGTTGGCCTAACTGTAGAGGAATGCGAGGCCCTGGCGAAGATGACCGCTGTAATCAATGCCTGGGAAACGCCCACCTTGAGCGTCCCCTTCTCGGTGAGCGATCCCAATTTTCCTCGTGGTTGCTACACCCAGTTTTCCTTCGGACTTCGTACGTTCTCGTTCAACACACATCCGACTGGAGCCGCGTCGTTCTTTGCTGCTGTCGCTTGTAAGTCAGATGATTGGAATCTCTACAAGAGTTCATGTCCAGCTGGGCTTGTTCCGACCACTCCGGAAGACTGTGTGGATTTCGTTGCCGCGTACAGCCAGAATTTTCGGTTCGACAATGCGAGTTTCTCCGATGCGAATTTCCCGCCGGGCTGCGTTGGCTACGGAGGGCCGACACTGAGTCTCAGGGGAACGTTTCGGTACAACGTGCCTCCAGGAGGTATCGGGAGCGAGGTGAATCCCGATGCTTTTGTGATCTGCGCCACCGCCTCGACGCCCGCGCCTACGACAGGGACGCCTGCGCCCACGGCGGTGCAGATCTCCGCCACCGGGGATCCGCACATGACCACCATCTCTGGCGCCAGGTTCTCCGACGAAGGCATCTGTACACCACCATCGTGCCATGCCAGAGCCATCCTGGGATGGTGTACAGACCCTCCTGACCTCGGCCTGGAGGGCGTATACACCATCCTGGGGTTAAGTCGGGCCTGTCCCTCTACAGGAGGAATACTCAAAAATAGTGAGGACGATGTGTTGACTAGTCTCGAGTATTTTTGAGCATTGTTGGGTTTATATTGTTTGTTTCGTCCAAGATCCCCCTGTAGGGGGACACACGCGCTCCTCCTCCTCCTCCTCCTCCTCTTTCTCCTCCTCCTCCTCCCTCCTCCCCCTGGTAGGGGGACAGACCAGACCTAATGATCCTAGGGCCCAGGAGGGCCCTGGCCTGGCACGGCGTTGGTGTGCAGATGCCCTCCTCCTCCTCCTCCTCCTCCTCCTCCTCCATCCTTCCTCCATCCTTCCTCCTCCTCCCTCCTCCGTCCTCCCTCCTCCTCCCGTAGCCATTATGGCTCAAGTTCGAAACCTTGCCGCGAGGCTTCGAGCTTGTCCGCAGCCGTGCGGCAGGCTCGGGTGATTTTGGCGTGTGATTTCTTGGTGTGCTGCCCTGCCACCAGGCCTGCTCTTCCGAGCATTTCATATTTTGTGAGCTCCTGCTGGGGCACAAGTCTTCGCCCTGGAGTATTGCCATGCCTTGGAAATATGCTCCATGGATCCGTCGGCGCCCTGGTCATGATAATTGGTCTAGCTATAGTGTATGCTCGAAGTGCGGGCATTGGGAGCTCGACCACCATGGCCATGTCACGTGTTCTAAGTGCAAAGGTACGTGCCTCGCGAAGGACGGCACGAAGGATCAAGGTCCTACTGCTGCTGGTGGGCGTTGGAAGCGCCGCGCTAAGTACCAGCTCGTGCCCCCTTCCTCGATGATGAACTTGAGAGGTTGGCGGGTCTTTTTCCTGATCGTGCCCATGTACTACGAGGTGTTCGTGAACGTGCACCACCCCCTGCTGAAGCCGAGGTACCCCTACCATCGTCCGACAACGACCTGGAGAAGAAGGTCGCCAATAAGAAGACGGCGCTGGCTCTCGCAGTGGAACGTGAGTCACAAGCCGAGCGAGTGGCATTGTACGACGTTGAGCAGAAGCTTGCACGTGTTGTTCGTCACAGGGAGGCCTTGGCCAAGGCACAGGATGCCCACGCCGAGGCGGTGTTTTCATTGGAGAAAGCAGCTGCTGCCCACCGTACTGCGTATGCCGAGATGGACTCTTTCGATCCACACGTTTACCGTCTGCAGATCGTGGCTGAGGAACGTGCTGAAAGGGAGCGTTTGGAACGGGAACGAGGGCAGGCAGCTGCGGCTGCAGCCTGCCCCTCCGTCCACCCCAAGCACAGCACGGACGGGCGCCCAGCAGAGACCGCCGCCAACGGTGGCACAGGGCCCCTGGACGTCGACGCTGAACGCCCTGCTCCAGCCCCAGGTACCGCTGGACCTACTGCAGCCCCTCAGCCACCTGATCGTATGTCTTTCAGTTATGATTACTTACGTAAATGGTGCGATGCACACAACCAGAGGTTCGAGTATTGGATGCAGATCAAGTCTTTCAAGTCGCATCTTGAGGAAGATAATTTGTCTGACGATCCCAGCGACATTGGTAACGACGAGTCTTACCGTGATGAACTTGACGCACTCAAAAAGAGGAGTACCGAAGTGGCCTTGTCAGCTGGCGAGCTCGAGAGGTTGGAAACCACATGCAGAAGCGATCCCAGATCAAGGCCGCCAAACGATTACGCACTGCTCGGGATGGAGCAGCTGCATCGTTCGACCGGGCGCTGCAAGCTACGCGCCCAGTTCATGCGCCAACCGCTGCCCCCGTTCCTGCTGAAGAAGGTGGAGGACTACGGCGTCTTCAACAACAAGGGTGCGCTGCAGGCTACGCGGAAGAGGAAGCCGGCCGCCTCCATTGACATGTTGTTCTGTAACATCACGTCTTGGAATCAGGTCACGCTCGATTTCTTGCAGCAGATCAGGCCAGCGGGCGACGCCTCTTTCGCCGCCGAACATCATCTGATCAAGGATCTTGCCCGTGCGAAAAAGGAGCGCTGCACAGGTTGGTTGGAGGCCGCGCCTGCGCACTGCGCCCCCATCCCCTGGAGCAGGCACCTCTGGAGGAGCGGGCGCCTTGTTTTCCAAAGGTTTGAGCTTTAGGCGCGTTCTGGCCTCCGACACCCTGGATGCAGGCAGAGGCCTCAATTGTTTTTTCTTGGAACTGAAGACCGAGCAATGTTTTAGCTGTAGAAGTGATTTATCTGATGGCTGACCTGGTTTTTCTGTGGAAAACATTGAACGACCTCGTGTTGTCTCGGGGTTACATGGGACTCTTGCCATGCCATGGGTCCTGGTTGGGGATTTTAGCATTCCTCCTGAAGATATGTAATGTACCTCTCTGGTTTCCCACAGCTTGCCCGAGCACGCGCGCTGGTTTCTGAAGATGCGCTTGTTACATGTACGCAGGGAAGGGGTACCCTCATTGATTCCGTGATTACCTCTGATGACATATCTGTTGTTGTGAAGGTAGGTACCTATTCCCATAGCCCGTTCAAGACGCACGTTTGTTTGGACGTACGCATCGTGCATGAAGCTTTGGAACAGTTCATGTGGAAGCGGCGTCGCCCTATCCCATTGCCTGAATGCGATGGGCCAGATTTGCCCTGGAAACAGCTGTTGACTCAACTTCCTGACGAGGGGCAGCCTGCTACCCCCGCCTACATTTACCGCGTGTCCAGGATAATCTGAAGTCAGGCCTCACAGAGCTCTACCTTGTATGCTCTCGGGCTACGGAGGCGATGTTCGAATCCAGGGCAGCTGCTTGCGAAGTCAAAGAGGGTCGGGTAAAGCGCGGGGAGTTTCCTGTGTTTTGTTGTGCGTCGATTGGACGGGGGGGCCCTGAAGGCCAAAGGTTCCGCGAAGCTGCTTTCGCTTTCTGGGCCCATTTTTTTTTTTCAAAACATGTGGGGATGCCGTCTTTACCTGGCCCGTAAATCTCTTGCAATGGTCGCCAGCTTAGCTAGCGCCCTCCAAGGTTAAGCAGCCAAGATTGAGCAGCACCTTGGCCCAGAGGATACCTATGGGCTTAGCTGGTGGCGAACTCAGCTGGCGCTTTTGCCGGCTAAGTCTGAATAGATGGCTGCGCTCACAGGCGCTATCTCCGCTGGCGCCAATGCTGCCTGGAAGGCAGCCAGGACCAACTCACGCGCGAGAATGAAGGACTGGCTCCTGAGGGCGCTTCCAAAAGGGGCTAAGAAAATGCATTCTTGGCTGAAGCACGACATTGGTGACCCCCCCCCAGGTTTTGGTTGCCCCTGAAGGAGTGAGGCAATTGCCTGCTGATATGATGACCTACCGAGAATCCTTATGGCGCGGAGTTCGGGTCGCCCCTGGACCCCGTGAAAAGTTGCTTGGGGTCTTAGATGCTCTGAAACCCCATGCTTTGGAATCGGTTTCTCTGATTGAACCCTTGCAGCCCATGGATGTCCAACGGGCTGCTAGGTGTTTTTCTGTTACCACTGCTGCTGGGGTTGACCCTTGGGCTCCGCGGTCGTTGGTCGACCTGCCTGGGGGCGCTGTGTCGGGGTGCACTTCTATCCTCAATCAGTGCGAGTCCTTGCTCGCCTGGCCTACGTAGGTCTACCTCAGTGTTATTGCCCTGTTGCCCTAGAATGCCGAATGTGATCTTCCGATGTGTAAGTGTTCCCACCTTGTATAGGGTCTACTGTAAAGCTAGGAACCAAGATTTGGACAGGTGGAACCAGGATAGGTACAACTTTTGGGACACTGCGATTGCAGGCTCCAGTGCGCTGCAGGCCGTTCTACTCCGCGAGCTGGGCCATGAGATAGCTCGCACCATGGGCCTCTGCTCCGCGGGCGCGCGCTGGGGCCTGAAACGATTTTTTTGCTTCTGTCCAGCCGCATCGGCTGGTGAGCTTGGCAGTCAATATGGATTACCCGCTCCACCTCCTCTACATCGGTATCCTCCTTCATGAAGCGCCCCGTGTTTTGGAAGTTTGAGGTTTTGTGTCCGATATTATTGGCCCTGGCTGTGGAATACTGGCAGGATGTACGCAATCCATGTCATGGGTTACGAATTATGGTTATGAGTTGTTGGGTATTGCCCATGCATATGTTGAGGATACTACCCAGTCTATTGTTGGACAACATGCGCAAGTGCTCGCATCTTTCGCCCCTGCTGCATGCACCTTGCGCACCAATTGAATGAATTATGATGCACTATTTCAGGCAGGTCGGTTTTCATTTGCAGCCATGGCGACATAGGGCGAGAGCTTGCCGCGCGTTTCACGGCAGTTGGTCCGCCCATCAAACTGGGGCAGGCTGCTCGAGATCTGGGGGTCATCCTTGCGGCTGGCGTGAAAAGATTCACTGCGAAGCTTGGGCGTCGCAGGAGCACTTCCCCAAATAATGCTAAGACAGTTGCGTTTTGACACAGATTGCCGGCAGTGCCCGAAGGCTTTACACGCCTGGGGTCTTGGCGGTCGGCTCCTGGAGCCACCAATTTCTCGGCCCCACTGCTGGCCATATTAGGTCCATGAGGGCCCAGGCCGCTATGCGCATTGGGAGGTGGTGCCCTGGGGCCTGTGCCACGTCGGTTTTAGGATTTATCAGCGCAGCCAAAGATGACCCCCAGTTTAGGCTCAGATACGAACAACAAGTTTGTTTTCATGACGTTTGGCAGGAATTGGACCACCAGAAGAGGATGGAATATTCTAGGTGCTGGGGCATTATCGTGGACAAGTTCAGTAAAACCAAGCATATGTGGCAATGCGCCCGAGGTCCACTCGCTGCTACCATTGATGTGTTGATTAATTTGAATGCAATCCCCCGCTGTCCTGTCTACTGGCTCTTCCCGAATGGTGCCCGCGTCCGCTTCGCCGACGGAGCTTTCCAGCGCAGCCTCTAGCGCGCGCCCATAGAAGTTTGCAGCGACCTGTCATGGAGCGGGGCTGCAAACCATTA